CTTCAACTGTGCCTCACATAGAATCAACACCTCTTTACTGGTGGCTACTGGGATGAGTATGGTTGATTGGCATGGAATGGGTGTACAGCAAGGATCCACATCCTCCATTCAAGACAGGAACCCTGCTGGGCACTGGTGGCTCATGTCTGTAATCCTAGCTACTCTGAGGATCGTGGTTCAAAGCCAGCCAGGGCAGGAGAGTCTGTGAGACTCTTATCACTAGTTAACCCCAGAAAACCGGAAAGCTCAGGGATAGTGCCCAGGGCCTGAGTTCAAGCCCCACAGCAACAACAACAAAGAAGGCAAGAACCTTCCAACATTGAGGCCTTTGCTCCTTTTCTGTTCCATGTTATATTTGCATGTTTTATGGGGGACAGAGCTACCGTTCCCTAGCGCAGTTCCCAGCTGTTCTTCTCTTCTAGGGAAGCACTAAGCTGGCAGCAGGAGATGGTTTAGGAGGCCATGGGACGTGCATCTCCTTAACCCAGGAATTTTTTCTAGCTCTGGCAATTGGGTTTGGAGTCTGCTGTGTGCTGAAGTGTAAAAGGATAGTATTGAGCATGTGGGAATCTGGTGTTAAGTTCCGTCACCTGTCACCTGCCTTTAGCTATGTGAACTTGAATGGCTTTTCTCACTCACATTTTCCTCATTTGTAATATTATCTAGAGCATGTTTAAGGAAGCTCATTTATGGTTATCTCAAGCTGAAGACAGAATATGAATAAACTTTGTTATGGCTACATTCCATAGTTTATTTAAATTCTTTTTTTTTTTTTTTTGTGGGTGTGTTGCTGATCCTGAGGCTTGAACTCTGTCCTGGGCACTGTTCCTAAAATTTTTTTTTTTTTTTTCCGTTAAGGCTATTGCTCTACCACTTGCACCACAGCTCTTCCAGCTTTTTTGGTCAGTCCTGGGGCACGAACTTGGCCTGGGAACTGGCCCTAAGCTCTTTTGCTCAAGGCTAGCGCTCTACCACTTGAGCCACAGCTCCACTTCCAGTTTTCTGGTGGTTAATTGTAGATAAGAGTGTCATGAACTTTCCTGTCTGGGCTGGCTTTGAACTGGGATCCTCAGATCTCAGCCTCCTGAGTAGCTAGGATTCTAGGCGTGAGCCAATGGTGCCTGGCTCTATCTTCCAGCTTTTTACTAGTTAATTGGAGATAAAGAGTCTCAGGGACTTTACTGCTTGTGGCTTCCAACTGTGATCTTCAAATCTCAAGCCTCCTGAGTAGCTGAGATTACAGGGATGATCCACTAGTGCTTGGCATAATTCACTTCCCCTCACCCCCCTCCCACCAAAAGAGATGGCACATAAAAGATTGTGGTTCTGAGTCTCATCTGATGATGTAATCTTGTAATTTCCCCAAACTTCTTTTTGGTTCTATAGATTTACTCTAGAAGGAAGGCAATCCCAGGTTGGCTGGGCCTCGCTTGCTCAGGCTGGAGGCTCGCAGGACTGGTTCTAGCTTGTCTGAGGCTTGTTGGGATGTTCTCAGCAGACATGCCTCTCCCATAAACCAGTACCCACCTCTTAGCAGTTACATAGGGAAGTAGAGAGAAACTTTTATTTTATCTCCTCAGTCCATTTTCCCAGTCTCCTCATTTTTATTGAGGGCACACGTTCCATCACTTTGAAATATTTTACAGGATAAAATGGAGTAGCCTGATTGCATTCTTTAACCACACTAGATATTTTAGATCAGTCACTGAGTGAATATTTACTGAGCACCTACTACGTACCAAGGCCCTGGGGGGTACCATAGCACATAGGCTCTCCACACCATAACGACAATTTGTAGTTAAGGTAATGACATTAAACGCTCGACCAAATAGATTTACCAACACCATATGACAGCTGCCATGAAGAAGAAAAACGCTTATAAAGAGGAATATAGTATAGATTGGAGATCAGGGAAGGCTTTCAGAAAAGAGAGGTTTGATGTAAGTGGTAGAGTGCCACCATTGAGCAAAAAAGCCAAGCAAGAGCACAAGGCCCTGAGTTCTAGCCCCATTGTTAGCGTGCGCGCGTGCGCGTGCGCACACACACACAGTTTAGTCTCTGAGGAGAGACATGACAGGCAGAAGTGTTCACAAGCAGAGGTAAAATCACGTGTCAAGGTCCTGAGATGGAAGAGACTTTGGGATAGTTCCTGTACCTCTGGCTTTGGGGAGAAGCAGAATAATGAAAGAGGGAGAACCTGGCTTTATGGGTCTTGGTAAAGATTTGGTTTTTTTTTTAAAAATTTTTTATCGTGAAAATACCGTACAGAGGGGTTGCAATTACATGGGCGAGGTAATGAGTACATTTTTTTTTTTACTGTATAGAATTACATTTATTCTTTTTTTTATTGTGAAAATACTGTACAGAGGGGTTACAATTACATGGGCAAGATAATGAGTACATTTCTTATCAAGCATTGCAGCCTCCTCCTTTGTCTCCCCTTCCCATCCCATCTTCCCCCTGCTCCCCCTAACTCTCCCCTCCCAAAGTTGTAAAGTTCGTTTTCGACATAACGACTTGTACGTCTCATTGTTGCAATGGGTCCACCTGTATCCCTAGTTAAGCGATTTGTTTTTTCCCTTCCCCTCCATAACAACATCAAATACAGTGAAGGCAGGGGTTATACTGTAGGGGAGGGACATACAAAACAATAAATCATCTTATAAATGTGTTAGAAACAATCGCATGAAAGAAAAAAAAACATTTGAATACATACCTTAGGGTTCATTTCCCTAACATCAACTTGTCTGACCTTTTCTGCTTGACTCAGATATATATTAGTTATTGCGAATAAGGGAAACCATGAGACCTATGTTTCTTTGGGCCTGGCTTACTTCACTTAATATAATTTTTTCCAAGCCTTTCCATTTCCTAATGGGGCAATGTCATTCTTTCTGATGGAGGCATAGAATTCCATTGTGTATATATACCACATTTTCTTGATCCATTCATCTACTGAGGGGCATCTGGGTTGGTTCCATATCTTAGCTATGGTAAATAATGCTGCAATAAACAAAGTTGTGCTGGTAGCTTTAGTGTGGTCATGTTTGTGAAGATTTGGGGTTTTATCCTAAGAGATCACTTGTAGACTTGGTCATGTTGAGTGAGCATCCTCCTCCTGGGTTTTAGCTGTTCTCTTTGGAGATGCTTTGCTAGTCCAGAAGCATGGCCAATCCCAAATCAAGTGCTGCTTAGATAGAGCCATTTAACAAATAAGCCTGCCTTGTTTAGAAATAATACCAGATCAGCCTTCCCAGGAGAGTGGATCCAAAAATGACTGTCAGCACTGAGTGACTCAGAAGTGAAGTCTGTGGCCCAGCCCCTGGAAAATGTCTTGTCCCTGGGGCTGCTTGGGAGGATGCTCAGAACCTTGGATCTAGGGCCTTCATTTTCCTAGAGCCAGATCTCTGGTAGACCCAGGATGGGAACGCCAGAGAGGAAGGTTAGGAGGTCAGGATCTCTGTGCTGGTTCCACATCCTGCCACATTCCAGGCGAGTTTTGCCTGATAAAGTCGTAACTTGTTCCAGCCAGAAGGGACTACTGGAATCAACTGACCCCTTTCATTTTGTGAGGTCAGGGTGCTGATAAGGGAGGGGACCACTCCCAGGAGCCAAGGGACTTCTCTAAGGGAAGGCAGAGTCCTGTGGGCCCTGGGGCCTTGAAACTACCCTGCTGCTGGGAGACTTCCCAACTAGAAGGGTCTTTATTTATTTTTTTGCCAGTCCTGGGGCTTGAACGCAGGGCCTGGGCACTGTCCCTGAGCTGTTTTTGCTTAAGGCTAGGGCTCTACCACTTTGAGACACCGCTCCACTTCAGCTTTCTGGTGGTTATTGGAGATAAGAGTCTCACAGCCTTTCTTGCCCAGGTTGGCTTTGGACTGAGATCAAAAAGTCATGGACTGGCCCTGGGGTGACCATAGATAGTAGATTTTTAGTATACCTTGGTTTAGAAAATACAGTGAAATTTCTCTGCGGTTTGTACTGCTTCAAGATGAGTTTGTGTTTCGTTCATCCTACAAGCAGCTGTGTTCATGTGAAGCTAGTTGTACAACTGTGGTGGGAGACATACTTATGCAGTCTACATGCAGTGCTCAGCAGACAGATGGCTGGGAGCGTCAGTTGTGGTCATTGATGGCCTTCCCCAGCTGCTAGTGGTCTGTACATTTGGAATCACTGATCTAGAAGCATCAACTTGGGGAAAACCAGATACTTAGAAGGACACAGACAGGTTCTTCTGTGAGATGGAATGAATTGTATAAATTCATACATACTGAAAAATAATCTTCATTTTTTTTAAAGTGGAAAAATAACTCAAACTGATTGTAACAAAACAACACATTCCTGAAATACATAACCAAAGCAGTTTGGTGTGCAATGTTTCACTTTGCATCTGTGCCTAGGTTAACATAGTAAAATTTTTTTACAGAAATAGGATGTTCCTATCCACAATTTATACAGGTGTATGTGTGTGTTTACAAAAGTGTAACTGGTGACTTATTTTAAGGAAGTAACAAGGTCCAATGGACAGAGCGTTGGGTCTGGCTCAGGGTTTGAGCCTGCAGTACACTAGTTGAATGACTAGTAAAGTAGAGTGTATCTCGTTGAGTGATCCTGAGTGGGTAAAAAAATCTTTGTAAGTCTCAGCTTACTGATCTCTGAAGTGAAGACTGATAATTTGTTTTCTCACAAAGTTGTAAAAATCCAACAGATCAAATAGAGTCTTTATAGAGGCTCACAGGACTGTTAGAACTTAGGGTTTTACCCCCCTTTTTCTTTTTGAGACAAAAGCTCACTCTTGTAGTCCAGATTGGCCAGGAATTTTTGGTCTTCCTGCTTTGGGCTCCGGCATGCTGGGATTACAGGCTTGTGCTGTCCCTCTGGGCTGGGCTTTTGCCTTTTTTCAGTGTGTTGATGTGTATCAGTGACTACTTAACCTATGGGTCACTTATTCAGTGGTTTGGAGACAAATAGTAACTGGCCCGCCCTCCTCTTTGTTGCCAGGTCACTCCTGGAAGCAAGGCCGCCGTAGCTAATTTATGTATTGGAGACATTATCACAGCCATCGATGGAGAAAATACCAACGGGATGACGCATTTAGAAGCTCAGAACAAAATCAAGGGTTGCACAGACAACATGACTCTCACAGTAACCAGGTGAGATGGTGGAAATGTTTCTTCTAGACTGGAAGTTGCTTGTGGGCAGGGGCTGCCACACTATACACACACACACATACTGAATATATGCCAAAGTACTAGAGCTTTGAAATGTCAATTGCTCATTTTTTTTCCCCGTAAGTTGTACAGTGTTTCTCATAGCGTAGGCTTCTTTCTCCAAGTTACCTGAGTTTTACTTGATTCAACATAACAAATCAAAATTCCCAGGGAGTAAAGTCAGGGAAATACTGGGAGGTATAAGAAAATGAAAACTTCCTCCTGGGGACCTCAGAGGATCAGGCTAGGATACTGTTCCTTTTGTGCTAACAGGGCGGTGGGGGTCTCAGCGGGAGATTATAGTGACAGACCAGAAGACATGGTGTGTTACACCAGAGTGGGGTTAAGGCCCAGGAAAGAGAGGAGAGAGGGAATAGATGATGGAGAACACCTGGGGATTGGAATTAGGGTAGAATTTCCATTCTTTTGTTATGTCTCTGAAGGGACTCTACAGGGCAAGATTTCAGGAATGATTTGGTTCAACCTTTAATGGCTTCCTATTTCCTCTTGGATCAAGTTCAGATTCTTCCTTTTGATCTGTGAACCTGCCCTTTAATTTCTCCCTAACCAGAGCTTCTATTGTTTGTTTCTTTATTTATCCATCCTCCAATCATTTATTCATTTATATATATCACACTGGTACTGGGACTTGAACTCAAGGCCTCACATTCTCACTTGGTTTTTTCACTCAAGGCTAGGGGCACTACCACTTGAGCCACACCTCCACTTCTGGCTTTTTGGTGGCTAATTGGAGATGAGTCTCATGGACTTTTCTGTGTGGATGGCTTTGAACTATGATTCTCAGATCTCAGCTTCTTGAGTAGCTAGGATTATAGACTCTGTGTGTGTGTGGTGGGGGGTGTATGTGTACAGGTTCTGGGGCTTGAATTTAAGGCCTCTCTCTTTTGCTTGCCTTTTTTTGCTCATGGCCAGCACTCTTGCTTGAGCTACACATCCACCTCCCTTCCATGATTCTTTATCTGTGACATTCATGTTTTTAACCTTGTGCCATGGGATTAGCAGGAGGACCGAGCATGGGAGAGAGTGTCAGAATAGAGAGTCAGAATAGTTGGTTCAGTATTGTACCCGCCTCTGGAGGAACTCTTTCATGACACCCCCTTCTCAAATAGCATATTTACATCCCTCATCTCCATTTCCACCCCGCTCCAGATCCTTCCCTTCAAGCTCCAATTAAGCCATTCATGCACTCATTGAATTACGGATTCGGTGAGTTTTGATTCATCGATGCACATTGAACAGGTGCATTTTATAAATTCCTGATACTGTAATGGGTATTTTGACAAATGCAAATGTAAATGTAAACATTCTCTACCTGTAAAAGAAGAAAACCCTATCCTAAGGAAAACAGAGACTAGACTGGTACAAGAAAATCTTTTTGCAAAATCAAAAAAAGGGAAGCCTTGCTTTCACGGGACCAACTCCGCCTCATGAATGAATTGATGATCTGGTCTGGGTCAGAAACCTTGGACTAAGGTGGAGGAGAATGTCATTCCATGCTGGGCAGAAGTAGGGCGGGCTGCCGCACAAGCAGGAAGACAGAGAAGCATGGTGGCTGGTGTCAGCTGGCCAGACTGTAGAGAGGGACGCTGAGAGGAAGGATGGGGTGGGCAGCTTGCTGAGCCCTCGGGGATGGATGCCATCAGACTGGCAAAGGGGTGGTAAGGGTCATGATGAGGATGGAGCACAAGCAGAGAAGGTTTAGAAGTCCAGGCAGAGGGACGTAACATGACTTGTAACATACCCAGTTGTCCCTTAGCATCCCTGTGGATGTTAAAATGTGTGCTCAGGTACCTCCTATGAAGAGGTGTAATGGTGTACATTCTAGGCACTTCTTCCTGTATGGTTTAAATCTTCTCAATTACCCATAATACCTCAAAAATGTAAATGCTCTATGAAGAGTTGTTATGCTGTGTTATTTAGTTGATAATGGCATGGGAAAGTCCAGATATTCAGTACAAATACAGTTTTTTTAAAAATACTGTCCGCCTGTAGTTGGTTGATAGTATAGGACACATGGATGGAGAGGGCCAGTTGTATTATTTTAGCACAAATGCAACAACAGCTTTAGGATGGGGATATAGTTCAGTGGTAGAGCCTGACAGATGCAAGGCCCTGGGTTCGATCCTCAGCACTGTAAAGAAGAATGAATGAGTGATTAAAAGAAAGGAGAGAAAGAAAGCAATAAATAAATAATAGCTTTGTTTATCTGTTGCAGATCTGAACAAAAAATTTGGTCTCCTCTAGTGACTGAGGAAGGGAAACGCCACCCATACAAGATGAATTTAGCCTCTGAACCCCAAGTAAGTACTTGCTGATCACTGCCACTCTTGATGACACCATCCGCTTCCCACTTCTGGCCCTGTTCAGCTCCTGCCCCGGAGCCCAGGGGTGGGTGAGATGGGAGGGAGAGCCCTCCACAGACTGTGTGGGATCTGGCTTTTGTTCAGGTTTTCCCGTAAGGGAACTGCCAGAGGAAAGGACTGGAAAACCCCAGGGCAGGGACCACAGCCTGGGCTGGAAGCAGAGGGTAGGAGGTGATAAGGGAAGCATGTGTAAGTAGGGTTAGCAGGACCAGAGTGAAATCAGCGAGCTAAGTCAGCTCCTATGATTTCAGATCCAGGTGAATCTTCTCTGTGATAAAATAAGTTCAGAGGCATTGAAAAGAACCAAAGGGAGAGTTAAGAGTAAACCCTGCTGCTTTCCTGTGTGGATTCTTATGAGTTCTGGGATGGAAATCTCCATTTTTGTAACAGTGAAAATTCTAGTGAGACATTAAAGTCACTAAGAGTAAAATGGCGGCTAATACTGGAGGATGCAGTAAGGAGCTGATACCAAATAGGATTTCTGGGAACATGGGAACAATCAGGCACTGGTGGCTCACACCAGCTGATCCATCAAGGTTGGAAGCCAGCTCAGGCAGACAAATCCGAGAGATTCTTATCTCCAGTTAGCCACCAAAAAGGTGGAAGTAGAGCTGTGGAGCAAGTGGTAGAGTGGCAGCCTTGAGTGAAAAGCTAGGAGACAGTGCCCAGGCCCCGAGTTCAAGCCCCAGTATCAGCATGTGTGCACGCACGTGCACGTGTGCACGCACGCCCGCACACACACACACACACGTGCGTGCATTCAAATTTCCAGGAAGTGTAGAGTGTCCTAAATCTCTCAGTAGTCAGTTTTCTAGATGATTTTATTTCTCCCTTAGATGCACCTTCTAAATTATCTACAATGTGTGAAAATTCTTTTTTGAAATAAGGGAACAACTAGAAGAATGTTGAGAATACCTTTGTATTCTTAGTACACCTAGTGTGCTGCTAGTAATTTATCTACCAAAGTATTTTTTAATAATTATTATGGATGAGAATGGCTTTTTCAAATTATAGTTTGGGTTGTGATTGTTATGTATTTCACCCCTGAAGATGTGAGCCAGACGCTGGTGGCTCACACTTATAACCCTAGCTACTCAGGAAGCTGAGATCTGAAGATCACGGTTCAAAGTCAGACCAAAGGCAGGAAAGTCCATGAGGCTCATCTCCAGTTGCCCACCAAAAAGTTGAAGTGGAGATGTGACTCAAGTGCGTAGGGCACTAGCCTTGCATGCAAGTCCTAGGACTGGCACAGGGGCAGCACCCCGGTCCTAAGTTCAAGTCCTGGGACTGGCCCCCCAAAAAGATTTTTTTCTAAGTTTGTCATACTATTTAGTTTTTATAGTGAATTATTACTACAGAATAATATAACCCAGCTTTCTTTTATACCTATGACAGAAATTGTATGACATTGAATTCACATGGTACTGTTAGCGTATAAATTGATTGAAGACACATTTTCTTAAATGGCCCCATTAAAATTTCAGAAATGTAGTCACAAAATTACTTTTTCTCACCACTATAGTGAAACATCATACTTGAAGCCAGGTACTGCTGGCTCATGCCTGTAATCCTAGTTACTAAGGAGGCTAAGATCTGAGGATCATGGTTTGAAGTCAGCCCAGGCAAGAAAGTTCAGCACCAAAAAAGCTGGAAGTAGAGCTATGGCTCAAGTGGTAGAATTCTAGGTTTGAGCAATAAAGCTCAGAGACAGTGCCCAGGCCCTACGTTCTAGCCCCAGGACCAGCACCAAAAACAAAAACATCATGCTTAAACAGGATCCTCGAGTTGTTTAAAGGATCATTTTGCATCTGCCATTTCCACACTGTCATGAACTTAATAGTCTATATCAGCTCAGTAAGGTTAGTTCACAAAACAACAGGCTGTAATTTGGCCTGTGTGCAAAGTGATTTAAAACATACCAGAGTTACAGTCAGTTTCCCTGGGAGTCTTCAGCTACTTCATTAAATATGCTATAAATATTCAATTTCAGTGTTATGTTTTCATATATTTTATGTCACATGGAGTGATTTTGTTTTAAATTGGTCTGTCTGAAATCCTAATTTTCACCTAAATAAGGCAGTCATTCACATTCCAGTTGTACTTTTTATTTGCATCATTGTTGAATTTTCTTCTTGAAACATGTGAACATATTTTTAAGGTAGTTCTCTGGGGTGTGTTTGTATCTTGATTCCAGTAGCTTATTAGTACAAAAAGACTCCCACCTCTCGCTTTTCCATAATCTTCCATTTTGAGTCTTAAACTAGAGGACACCTGAGTGAGGGCAGAGTTCATCTGTAACAAAAAGAGCTACTGGTTCTCATAAAGCCAAGCAACACCCCAGCTTATCTGAGGTCAGCATAGTTACACACCTAGTTTGTATTTCCTCATTATTGAGTTTCCTTGGAGACTGATAAATACAAAGCCCAAACAATTACATCATCCCTTCCAAAACGGCAAGTCCTAAATCTGCCTGCCTTCTGGAAAGATCACTATTCACTTGGGGGTAGAGATATTCCTTTTATGTCCAAACCAGATACATTCTTGAAAGATTGTTTACAAAATGAAAATCAAGATTTCTAAACCTCAGTTGTCCAAGGACTTTCCCTCTAATTGGACATATGTTTCTCCAGAGTCCTAGGAGACTGGAGAACAGAGCAGAACCTGACTGGCTGTCAGTCAGTTGCCAGTCACTGTGTTGGGTGTGCTAACATGACACTGTGAGGGCTAGAAAAGAAGCTTCATTGTTGTTTTTGTCGTTTTAAGGATGAGCAATGGGCTCAGAGAGGTCTAACTGGCCCATAGCCAGACTTGAAGTGGAAAGGCAAAGCTGAGCCAAGATTGAAGAATAAGTCTCTTCTCTGGTGCTCAGCCTGCTAGCACTGGCTGCTTCTAACACTGGCCATGGAGAGAGAGAGAGAAAGACAAATGGCCATACTGGACTCAGTCACACTGCGTCCATAGGACTGTAGTGAATGTGGCAAGAATCTTAGGCCTTCCCTTGTGACTTGGCCACCTTCGTCACAATCAAGTTTCAATTATTCCTTTGAGCCCTTGTGTCAAATTGCTCAACTATTCCTCTGTTTCTTCATTACTGCTGAAATATTCTTTTGTTGTTGTTGTTTTTTGTACCTGTCCTGGGCCTTGAATTTAGGGCCTGGATGCTGTCCTTGAGCTTTTGTGTTCAAGGCTAGTAGTGCTCTACCACTGGTACCATAGCTCCATTTGCAGCACTTTGGGTGGGTGATTGGAAATAAGAATCTCATGGACTTTCCTTTACAGGCTGGCTTTGAACTGGGATCCTCAGATCTCAACCCATTGAGTAGCTAGCAGTGCAGACATGAACCACTGTTGCCCAGCTGAAATATTTATTCTTAAGTGGCTATGCATCTTCTTTTGTGGTTACCTGTGTAAACTTAGCTTTTTATATAATATGGACAGAGTCAGTTGAACATTATCCCACTGATTCTGACTTGTTAAAGAGGAAGCCTAATAGAATAGTGATAAATAAGAAACTCAATCAGAAAAACCTTTATGGAGGGGTGGTACTAGGGTTTGAACTCAAGGTCTTGTGCTTGCTAGGCAGGTATTCTACCACTTGAACCATGTGCCCAGTCACAAACATTTTTATGTTGTCTATTAACTAATTTTTGTGTTGATCCTGGGGCTTGAACTCAGGAACTGGGCACTGTCCCTTAGGCCTTTTTGTTCAAGACTAGCACTCTGCCATAGCGCCTCTTCCCATCTGTTGGTGGTTAATTAGATAAGAGTTTCATAGATTTGACTGCCAATAATGACTTTGAATGGCCATCCTCAGATTTCAGCCTCCTGAGTAGCTAAGATTACAGGCATGAGCCACTGGTAGATGGCTGTTGTCTTTTATTTTAAATTAGGTATGCAATGAATTAAAGTGTTAGGTTTTCAAGAAAGCATTGGAGATTTAACAAGGAAGAAAGAAAAGAAAGAGCAATAGAGTCAAGAGCTCGTTTCGGACTTGGGTGTTTAAAGGAGAGACCAGAGTTCAGATGAATTTTCTCAGGAAGTCAGCAAACACATGGAAATTGCGTTTAAAGGACAGCATAGTGCATGTATTGCCTGCAAGCCACGGATAGATCCAGACAAACAGAGTAGAAAGGGCCTTGCTTACTGAGTCACTGGAAAGCATTCGAGATTTTTTTTTTAAGGAATGTTTGTTTACAAAGTGTATTTGAGCACTTGCACAGAAGCATCTAGAAGTTGCTGTTGTAGTAATTAGTTGCCAGACTTCGAGCAGAGGAGGGGCAGAGGGGGTGTTCTCAGATCACAGAGAGAGGACAATGAGAACACAAAGAACTCAAAGTTCTTCTGCCCCTGACCAGGCATCTTTTAACCTTTCATCTGAGTAGCCTGTGTGTTCCCTACCAGGAGCAATCCGCCCACTCCTTGTTGCCCCCACTGAGGGAATGAGACCAGCCCCGCACCCACCAGCTTGCACCACAACCCTGTCATCTCTTGATCAGACCTACTCTGTTCTGGGGAATTTATCTCCACCTTGTCATCTCCTGCACCGCTCTGCATTTTCCTTTCCTCTGCATTTTCCTTTCCTCTTGATTCCTTCATCCCTCTGGAATGTACCCTAAGGGTGCTTCATCTCTGCCTTAGATCCTGCCAGCCCAAGGCATCTAGGAGGTGTCCTGCTCCATTTACCCCAGGATCAGCTTTTGCCGGGCTTTGGGGCAGAATCAGAAGCAGAGCTGATTCAGAGGGTAGGAACTTAACCCCGTTTCCCATCCGAGGACCCCTTCCTGGTCGTTGCCCACAAGTCTCAGTAGATCTGAGAGAGTCTCTCAGCTACAGTGTGACATTGCACCGAAGCCATTGTGGCTTGGCTGGAAACTCTTCCCTGACTCTCAGCTGGCACTGCCCATCAAGAGACGGATGGTGAACTTGGCCCTTGATTTCTCCTCTGCTCTGCCTACAGGAGGTCCTACACATAGGAAGTGCCCACAACAGAAGTGCCATGCCCTTTACTGCCTCACCTGCCTCTGGCACTGCCCCCAGGGTCATCACCAACCAGTACAACAACCCATCCGGCTTGTACTCCTCTGAGAACATCTCCAACTTCAACAATGCTGTGGAGTCAAAGACTGCAGCCAGTGGAGGAGAGGCCAATGGCAGACCGTAAGTAGGCCCAGGAATTTTCTCCAGATCCTTTCTTGAAGAGGCTTTTTTATACCAGGACCATTTCCTCTTGGCAAATGAGAGAAGGCTGAACCATTACTCAAGGGAGACAACTTTTGTATGCATTTTTCTTACCTGTGTGTGTGTGTGCGCATGCCAGTGCTGGACAGGCCCTGGGCACTGTTCCATAGCTTTGTCTGCTCAAGGCCGGTGCTCTATCACCTGACCCACAGCTCCATTTCTGGCTTTTTGGTGGTTACTTGGAGATAAGTCCATGTTCATGGACTTTCCTGCCTGGGTTGGGTTCCAGCTGTGATCCTCAGATCTCGGTCTCTTGAGAAGCTAGAATTACAGTTGTGAGCCACCAGCATCCAACTCATTTTTCTTTCTGCTTCGTAGAGTGGTTGTAGGAATAAGACGTGACATGGAAATGGCCCTGCACTGTGTCTGCCACTGTTGAGAACAGTGATTAATCTCGTCCTGAGCTCATTTCAGCATCTGCTAATCACAGACCTTCCTTCTCAGCCCCGCCTCTCCCTGAGGAGTTCCTCATTATTTCTGCTTGGGAGTGCTGGTGAGAAGCTAGCATCCTCCTATTGTTCTGCATCTGATCTGAGCAGGGAGGGCGAAGGATGCCATGGTGCCCTCTTGGGCTGAATCTGCTTACTTTTGCTCCAGAGTGAAAAAAGAAATTGTAGAAAGAAAAGTCCATGAGGCTTGTCCACAGGAGTGGGTTCTGGTCTTGTGGCAGAGGCAGTCTTAGCAAGGGAGAGATGGGACTGTGGGTGGAAAAGGCAGAAAAGTCTTGCAGGGGACTGGGAAGGTCTGTCCTCTTCTGTCACAGACTGTTTATTGGCTTGCAATGCTTTTGAGTCTGTATCAGGTCCCTTAGGTCTTCTCATCAGAGGGGCCTATAATGTATCTCTTCCTTCCCAAACTCTTTATTTTATGATGGTATTGTAATGAACTCAGGGCCTCATATTCCTGCTTAGCTTTTTTGCTTAAGGCTGGTGCTCTACCACTTGAGCCATGCTCCTATTTCCAGCTTTTACTGGTTTATGAGGGATAAGATTCTCATGTACTATTCAGCCTGGGCTGGCTTTGAACCATGATCCTTCTGAGATTTCAGCTTCCTGAATAGCTTGGTTTATAGGCATGGGCCACTAGCTCCCTCCCAAACACTTCAAGGATGAATCCAGAACTCCAGCAGCCTGTGGCAAAGGACCTGGGTGTGAGGATGAGAGTAAGTGGACCGACTAGCATATGAGTTTGCCACACACATACCCAAAAGCCACATCAGGATAAGCATCCCAGGGCAGAGAAGACTGCACTGTGGTCCGTGGCCATTGGACCACACATGCTCCGTGCAGACATGGTGCTGCTCCTCTGATTCAAAGCCAGAAACCAAGTGCAGCTCAAGGATTCCTATTCCTGCTGATTGCTTTCATTAAAATAGAAGTTGCAGAAGCCTTTTTTAAATATGGAAGCTGAGTTTTCAGTGTTCAAGCTTTGTTGGAAAACATGGTAATAGTCCCAACTTCTCTGCTCTAAGGATCTTTACCACCTGGAATCCTCAGATTGTTGTCTTAACTCTGAAGCCCTCTGTGCCCTTCAGTTCTCCCGAATTCAACTTTATTAGTCACTCGCCCAACTTTAGGGTGTTTAAATTGTATACCCCTAAGTGCTTCAGATGCAGATGAGGAGAGGTTAAGTTCTTTGGGTCCCGGAGTCCTTAGCTGTTTATTAAGGGCTTTGTAAAAACCACACTCATGGGCATAGTGGCCTCATGGTATATATATATAATCTTTACCCCCCTTGCCCCCCCTCACCCCCACCCAGAAGAGAGACTGATATTTTCAAGTCCTTACTGTATGCAGGTCTTTGTGCCTGACACGGAGAGGACACTGAGATTTTCTTTTCAGTTCCTTAGGTGTCTCAGAGGACAGACTTTGGCTGTTTGGCTTTAGAAGACAATGAAAGTGGTCGTTGTTGCTGGTGGCTCATACTTAGCCTCTTAGGAGGAGGCAGAGGTTGGGAGGATCAAGGTCTGAGGCTTCCATTGGCAAAGAATTTGCAAGACCTCATCTCAATAGCTGGATGTGTAGTGGTGTGTACTTGTCACACCCATTATGACAGGAAGTATATATATAGAAGGATCATGATATGGGCTTAGCCCAGGCCCCAAAATAACCAGGGCAAAAAGGCTGGAGGGGGTGACTAAGAGATAGAGCGCTCGCTTAGCATGTACAACGCTCTGAGTTCAAACCTCCAGTACCATTATTATTATTTTTTTTAATATTGAAGGCATTTATCATAGTAACTAAGGCAAAGTGGGCATTCCTGCTTCGGTCCCCCAAATTCTGGTTCCTAAAAGGCCTTGCCGGCTTGAGTTGTTGATACCCTTCAAGGAGATTGTGGGGATACTGGGGATCCCCAAGAGCCATGCCGCCCCTCCCCACACAGGTTGTCATGGACACATCCTGAAGGAAGGCTTCTGAGCAGCTCAATGCAGACTGGCAGAGATGCCAAGGGGGGCTAGGGAGCAAGGGGGCGAGAGGGCAGAGGGGCGGCCCCGTGTTTTCGCTGCTCTGGTGCTGGAAGAGGTGGAGAGGGTAGCCTTCCTTCACTGGCCCCAAGTGGACTGCTGCATGATCTCCATTTTATAACCCAGGAAACGACACATTTTCATTGGAAGAACCATGATGCACTGGCCTGGAAAGTATTTTTAGTGTGGCCTTGGCAATTTTTCCTTCATTAAAGTCTTCTTACTTCTCTCATGCTCCCTGCTTGTTCTTTCCCTTCCTGTCTGAAACTTTCCCCTCCCATCGCAGTCTGGGTTCAGCGTCCTCTGAGTCTTTATCAAGGCTCGGTACAGCTTTTCCCCAATGAGGAGGACCGTGATCGGTGCCATCCTAAGCTATGTGAGGAGGAATCCAGAACCATGAGAATACCTCTGCCCAAAGCCGTGGAGCTTGGCTGTGCTGTTAGCATAGGGGTCTCTGCTTGCTGCTTCATGCCTGTCTGGTATGATCTCTGCAAAGAGAGTCTTCCCATCCCGCAGCTCCCAGGGTAATGCCACTGGCTCTGCATGAGTCCCTAGCACTGGCTCATACCAGTGTCCCCCCCCTCCCGCCCCCCCTCCCCATCACACTCACTGTTTAGTCTGTGAAATCCATGGAGGCTCCAGAATTGGCTCATTACATACTTTGCATCTGACTTCATCACCCATTCCCTGGGGGCTCACCCTGAGTTTCTTTGTAAAGCATCCGTGTGTGTGTGTGTGTGTGTGTGTGTGTGTGTGTGTGTGTGATCTTCACAGTTGCCAGTTGCCTTCCAATCAAGCCCTGGGGGCTCACCCTGAGTTTCTTTGTAAAGCATCCGCGTGTGTGTGTGTGTGTGTGTGTGTGTGTGTGTGTGTGTGTGAGAGAGAGAGAGAGATCTTCACACAGTTGCCAGTTGCCTTCCAATCAAGCCCTGGGGGCTCACCCTGAGTTTCTTTGTAAAGCGTGTGTGTGTGTGTGTGTGTGTGTGTGTGTGTGTGTGTGTGTGTGTGTTTGTGATCTTCACACAGTTGCCTTCCAATCAAGCCAGAATGCCAATAGCACTGCCACCTGGGAAGGCAGGGAGAGTGCCTCCATTGTTGCTTCTCCTTCCTCGTGGGCTGAAGGGGGCAGATAGATCCTCAGCAGCCTCTTCCCTCTAGGGGAGCTCAGCGAAGCAATCCTTTCTCCGGTGTACCTTAAGGGCGAAGGACATCTGTGACCTCTTCCAACTGAGTTTAGATGTTCTCATCAACATGGGATAACTCAGAGCCTGGATCGTCTTATTTAGATGATATCGTTTGAGACTTCCTGCTAGGTAGGTAGATGGGCCTGAGCATTGAATGCCAGCTTTGCCTTTCACCAGCTGAGTATCTGTAACTGCTCTGAAACCCTGTCTCCCAGTCTTTAAGGTGGACTCAAACTACCAACCTCAGTACCAGGTTGTTGAGAGAATGCAATGTAGTGTGTATTTTTAAAAAAAGCAAGTCAGGCACTGTTCAAATGGTACCAGAGGGATTGCATTAACCCCGACTACGTGGGAACTAGAGCAGAGGACTTTGAGCATGATGATGGTGCTTATCTCGCTAGCTAACCTGGCCCCAGTGCAGAGAACTGTCTCCTGAGTCTGGATGTTCCTTCCTCCTTTGCTAGGGCTCATGGGGCTAATAATTCCTTCTCTGCTTTCTTAATCACAGGGACCATCATCTGGGCCAGTGAAGACTAAAACACAAAAAACACAGGCCAGACAGCCCTTGTAGAGCTGAATGCCTAGTTTCCCAGAATTACTCCCTTCCTCTTCCCTTCCTTTCTCCTTCTTCCCTTCCCTTTTCCCTTGTTTCTTTTCCTTTCCCTTTGTCCTTCCCCTTCCTCTACTTCTCTTTCTTCCCTTTCCTCCCTTTTCCCTCTGCCGTTCCCTCTTCACCTTCCCCTTCCCCTCTCCAACCTGGGGGATGTCTAAACCCAGATTCTCATTTCTTGGAATGAGACACTGAAAGCTTCTCCTGGACACACCCTGAAGGGATTCTTCATCCTGAAGGAAAGCCTTTTCTTTATCCTATGGGGGGCGGAGGGGATCTCCACCATTTTCAGTAAGCACTTAACTTCTATTTGGGGGCAAATATTTTATTCTATTTATTTACTTTTTTCTTTGTGCAGGTCCCCACTTGAACTCTGGGTAGTTATTTGAAGATAAGAGTCTTAGGGGGCTGGGAATGTGGCTTAGTGGTAGAGTGCTGGCCTACCATGCATGAAGTCCTGGGTTTGATTCCTCAGTACCACATAAACAGAAAAAGCCACAGTGGTGCTGTGGCTCAAGTGGGAGAATGCTAGCCTTGAGCAAAAGAAGCTCAGGGATAGTACCCAGGCCCTGAGTTCAAGCCCGAGGACTGATCAAAAACAAAAACAGGATGTTGACAGGACTCAATGGAAAGGTGCAGCTTGCAGGTCACTAGTTTCTCA